GCGCGCTTTACTCTGGGACTTGTCAAGAACGTGGGAGAGTTTGAAGGGAAATTTGGAGTATTAAAAGGGAGTGTGAACTCTCAGGTGGCTGTGTTGCCTCTGTGCCATGCTCCAGGTCATCACAGTACCAAATCTTATTGAAAATCCTGTGAAGAGTGAACTAGGATCATTCATAATTTGTAGGATTAGGCTGCCAGATCTCGCAACTCTAACTTGTGAGAACATGTCCAATTGAAGCCTGAAACCAATTTAGGCACATACATTATCATTGTACTGCATGATACGCTGTTATCAAAAAGTGCCGCATCTGTGGATTCAGCTTTCTGTCTTTATAAAGTAACCTACAAAGTTCAGTTTAATTCAGCATTATCCATACTGATTATTTAGCCATGTCATGCTGAACAACTGAATATTTTGCTATTCTGGCTACTAAACCTGAAATTTCATCCCAAGTTAGGAAAAGCAGGAAGTAAGTCTGCCCTCACCAAGATTTAGCTTGCGAGAGCTAAATCTGTAACATGAGATCATAATCCCTCTGCCCTACTTACTACCTCCAATTTAATCTCTAATCTCAGCAACCTTTTCTGGTTTATTACATGTAAAGTTACAGATCTCACAGAAAGGTGTCAGTTGTTGATGTGATCACTAGGTAAATGCTTTTAATAACACGTTAAGATTTACTTTCCTGCTTGAAAGATGAAAAAAGGACCTTGATTAATGTATTCTGAGTCTTAACACCACCCACTCAGCAGCCCTACCATGAGACATCAGAGGTAGAATTTTTGTACTGGTTGGATGTTAATAATTAAATCCAGAATTTAAGCATACAAATTGCAGCCTTTCTTTCCAGTAATTAGAATTCACTTTTCCCTCCCAAAGAGAAACCTTGTGGGACCCATTTCTTTTTTCTGTCACTAAAAAGACAGCCCATAGCTCCATCTTCATATTACACACAGAAACACAGAATAAGGGCATCTACCAGTTATTTCCAGCAGGTCCATCAGCTTGCTTTCTCCCTGGTTTTGTATTTTGAGAAAACAGCTAGAAAGTTATTTGTCCATTACCGTAATATTTTATCAAGTTTGTGGACTCCCAGAATATTGCTGATATTCTGGTCCTCCCACAGGCTCAGCTAAGTCCCTTTCTTCATTTTTATTTGATTTCTACCCCGCCTTTCTTCTCCCGTAAGTGCTTAACATAACTAAAAACATTTTTTTTAAAAAAATGCAATATAACAAATAAAAAATACAGATTAACGTTCATAGTAAGTACTAAAGTGGTCTAACAACTAAACCCCAGTAACAGCGGAATGTTTATTTATTGGTTTTAAAGTAGTGACTTTTTTTGCAATAGCTATTTGGATCTTTGGCTTTGTTGGAGCTTGTCTTTGTTTTTCTTTTTTTTCTTTGGAAGTCCAATCTCTATGCTTGCTTTTTATCTTAAAGGGAAAGCTTTAGTATTAATGTTTCCTCTTTTTTTTTTTTTTAGCCTTTTTTTCTCCTTTCCTGGTATTTTTGTTTTTTCATCTACCTTTCTGGTTTATTTTCATGTACTCTTTTCTATTTGAGACCTCTCAATTGGATTAAGGCGTTGAAGAACTTGAAGAACTTTTCCTTTCCTTTCCTTTTTTTTTTCAAGCCTTTTTCTGCATCTAACCACCAATTGGATTAAGGTATACAAGAACCTGAAGAAATTTTGTCCTCTTTTTTTATCATTACTATTTGGCTTCTTTTTTCTACTATTTTTACTTCGAACTACAATTGGTTATTTCACAATTGGATTAAGGTTTAGAAGAACCTGAAGATTTTGAATTGCTTAAAATGAGTAGGAAACTAACAGCTCCTGGTTCTTCAACTTCTACTTCCTCCTCTCCACCATCTGGAGGACAACGTTCAATACAGACAATGTTAAAGCAAGAAAAAGAACAAGAAAAAGTGACTCTGCAGATGATTATGCAAGGAATTCAAAATATTCAAGCAAGATCACAGAATATTGAAAAGAGAATAGAGGACATTGAACAAAGAACAGAGAACATTGAACAAAGAACAGAGAACATTGAACAAAGAACAGGGAAAACAGATGAAAGAGTGGAGAACATCCAACAAATGATGTTGAAGTATGATGAGAGATTCCAAAAAAATTGAAGAAGAAGATAAACAAAGAGACAGGAAGATTGGAGATATTGATAATAGATTAACGGTGGTTGAACAGGATAAAAGTGGTATGTTGAGATGGGAGAAGGATAGATCAGAATTCTATCTTAGATTCCAAAACGTAGAGGAAGAAAAAGGACAAACTTAGCTGAGATAATGATAGAAATACTGGCTGAAGCTTTGGAAATAACTCAAGAGAAGATGATGGATGGAATAGATGAGGTCTATCGAGTCTTCACAAGATACGCAATGAGAAATAGCCTACCAAGAGAAGTTCACATCAGATTTACAAAGAAAGCCATTAAAACACAAATATTGCAAGTGGCAAGAGAGAAAACATTGAAATATAAAGATAAGGAGATTGTGGTTTTGAAACAAGTATCCAGGAGAGTGAGAGAGATGAGAAGAGAATACTGATTCTTGACCAAATTGCTACTTAAAAAAGAGGTGAATTATAGAGGGCTGATTCCAGAAGGTTTATACATGGCAAGAACAGAGATACAGAATTGATTCAATTGAGAAAACTGAATCATTTTATACAGAATTTTTCAGAGGGAAAGAGGAAGAGGCAGAAAAAGAAATTTCACGAATTGAATTCCAAGAGGACTGCCAAATGGCGATTGAAAAAGAAGAAGGTGCAGTAGGTGGAAAGGTGGAAGCCAAAGAACAACGTGAACCAAGATCTACGAGAGCTGCTAAACCTAACTACAGAATATAACCATGGAAGAGAAAAAACTGATTACAATTAATATAAATGGACTTAACTCAGCCGTTAAAAGAAGGAAAACCTTTCATAAATTAGAGAAATTAAAATTTGATATAATTTGTCTGCAAGAAGTACATATTAAAAAACAATATGAACAATTGTTGATACAGCCAAAATTAGGGAAAATATTTACTTTCTTGACACAAAGTAAGAAAAGAGGAGTGGTTTTATATATTAAAGAGACCATCCCAGCAAAATTGATTTATACCGATGATGACGGAAGAATATTAATGGTGGAAATAATGGATAATAATACGAAAACACTCCTGATTGCAATCTATGCCCCGAATGACAAACAAGAAGAATTCTACAAAAAATTACATATGAAAATAATTGAACTGGACTATGCTAATATAGTTATGATGGGAGATTTTAATGGAATTGTAGACAACAAACTGGACTATACAGGACAGAAAACAATAAAACAAAACAGAAAGACTCTCCCTAAATCTTTTTTTTTTAAATGGTAGATGAAATAAACTTAAAAGATACATGGAGAGAAAGAAATGCCAAAGCTAAACAATATACCTTCTATTCAAATAGACACTTATCATGGTCCAGAATAGATATGATATGGATGTCAACAGAATTAATAACTAATATTCAAGAAATAAATATTGAAACAAGTACTTGGGCAGATCACAATCTAATGACAATTAAATGGAAAGGACAAAAAAGAAGACCTAGATGGATGTTAAATAATACTATTTTAAAGGAAAAAGACTTCACACAATAGATGGAGAAAGAATTGGCTTTTTTCTTTAGAGAAAACAAAAAAGAAGATACATCAATTCAGAAGGTATGGGATGCAATGAAGGCATATGTTAGAGGATGATAATAGACTATACAAGGAAAAGGAATACTATGAAAAGATTAGCCTCTAAGGCCTTAGAGGATGAGTATAAAAGACTTGAAAAAGAGTTACAGAAAATGCCACAGAAAAAGGACATCAAGCTAAAAATGGATATAGTTAAACATAAAATGGGTCAAATAGAAAAAGAAGAATTAACACAGAAAATTAGAGGTGCTAAACAGAACTACTCTGAAGATGCAAACAAACCAGGTAGATGGTTAGCATACAAATTGAGAAAGGAGAAAGAATCAAGGAAAATATTGCAATTAACAGATGATCAAGGTCAAGTTTGCTATGGTAGTAAAGAGAAGAAGGAAATCATTTGAGACTTCTATGGGAAACTATATATGCAAGAGAATATTGATGAGGAAAGAGTTAAACAGTACTTACAGAATGCTAACTTACCTCAGATACCTAAAGAGATTGAAACAATGTTAGAAAGCAATATAACTATGATGGAGTTAACTGAAGCACTCAAGAAGCAAAATAATGGAAAGGCACCAGGCCCAGATGGACTTCCGGCAGAATTTTACAAAACATTACAAGAATCATTGAATCTTCCATTGCTAGAAGTTATGAATGAAGTTATGTTAAAGAAGAAGATACCTAAATCATGGTCAGAAGCCTATATTACACTTATTCCAAAAGAGGAGGCTGATCCATTACAAATTAAGAACTTTAGATCTATTTCTCTACTAAATGCTGATTATAAAATCTTTGCTTCAATATTGGCAGAAAAACTTAAAAAATATCTAAATAATTTTATTCATCCTGATCAAAATGGATTTTTGCCAAAGAGACAAAGTGAAAAATACAACAAAAATGCAATGTTTTGTTTTAGCAGCAATTATAATTTTATCTATAATTATCTGATGCAGTACATTCAAGTACATTTATACTTCTAGTACAGATAGCAGATAACAGATAATCAGAGTTGGAAGGAACATTGTAGGTCATCTAGTCCCACCTAAACAGGAGATCCTACACCATTTCTGACAAATGGCAGTCCAGTCTCTTCTTGAAAGCTTCCAGTGATGAAGCTTTCACAACATCTGAGGTCAAGTTGTTTCATTGGTTGATTGTTCTCATTGTCAGAAAGTTTCTCCTTATTTCCAGGTTAAATCTCTCCTTGTTCAGTTTCCATCCATTATTCCTTGTCTGGCCTTTGGGTGCTTTAGAAAATAGTTTGATCCCTTTCTCTCTGTGGCAGCCCCTCAAATACTGGAAGACTGCTTTCCTGTCTCCTCTGGTCCTTCTCTTCACTAGACCAGCCATGCCCAGCTCCTGTAACCATTTTATGTACATTTTATGGCTATTATGTTTTTTCTTTTTTCAACCTTCTTTATTTTGTACAAATGAGTTCCATATTTCTTTATATTTGTCCATACAAAGTCTAGATCTATAGACAATTCACTCACAGATAGCATATGCAATCAAGACTTTAATCCATTGAGTGAAAGGGACCATACATTTGTCTTCAGTAAGTGAGGCATATTTTGAGTTTTCCAAAATATTGAGAGCGTGTGGGATTGTGTTCTGTTGCCTGGGAGCAGCGATGGGGACAGAAATGTATGTTAAGCAGATGAAATGTGACAGCAGAAGGCATTTTCAAGAGGCCATTTCCTGAGAGTTACAGCCACTGGGCAGTGTTACAGTAAAGGAAATAGTTTCTTAGAAATTTAGGAGTGGCAGAAGCTACTAACATCACTTTAATTGGACTTTCTTATTCAATTTGCCTTTGGATTATGGATTTCCTGTCTGGCTGCTCACAGAATGTCAAATTAGGTAAACATACCTCTTCAGCCCTTATTCTTGACACTGGTATGCCACAGGTAGTGTGTTGAGTCCCTTACTCTATACTCTTTATGTGCATGACTGCATTCCCACTCACGCTGCAGCAGTCTACATGCTGAGCAATGGTCTCCTATCATTTTTTAAAACAATTCAATGGACTGGATCAAAAACACTCTAAATTAGAATCTCCAGGGCTTCATCTTGCCAGAAAGTCCAGAAAGATACTATAGATTCTGATATTGAAAACCATCATGAGATTCAATAGAACCAGCAGGACTATCCTCCAACATAAATCATCCACTTGATACAGGAAAATCAATATCATTCAGATACATCTAATATACTTATCACTTTATCTGTTACCCAGAAATGAAACTATGCTGGTGGAGAAGGAGAAGCAAATCTCATTGGATGCATTTAAGAGCCCACATATCAGACCTTACTGTACCATACCGTACCATACCATTACCACATCATACAACAGCACACCATGCCAATACTATACCAACATGGCCAGCAAAGCAGAATTACATCTTTGACCTTATTGTATCTGCTGAGAGCTATATGACAGCCTTTTTTGAAATGACTCAGACTCTTTTAAGAAGGATAGGGCAGAAAAACTGCTAACAGGGTACTGTGAGATATTAGCTCAGCACATTGTGGATATAGCATGTGAATACATTATCTAAGATTTCAGTGTGTTATCCCTGAGGAAATAAACAGAACCCTTGGTGAGATTAACTTTGACAACAATAAGCTAGACTCCTGTCCTTCCTAACTGCCACTGATTGTCAAAGAAGGGACAAGTGGGTAGGTCTGGGCCAATGGGAATGCCTTGTTGTGGGAAGGGAAAAGTGCTTAAATCTTTAAAATGGTGACCGGGACATCTTGATTTTAAAGGAGTGGCTATGGACTCACCTACACCAGACAACTATTGTTTACTCTCAAGCTTTCCTTTTTTAACCAAAAGATACTTTATTTTTCAAGAGGCAACTGGACTTTCTGGTTTTTCTTTGAAGATGTTTTGCTTCTCATCCAAGAAGCTTCTTCAGCTCTTACTGGATGGAGGGGAATGGAAGGATTTATATTCCTTGCAGACAGCTGGTCATTGGCATTATTTTAGTGGGTTGTTAAGGTCACCTGGAGATTTATCTGTGTCATCAGGGTCACCAAACATTTGAAAGAGGAGTTAAAGAGGCCATCTATGTCAAAGTTGAATAGCCCTCTCTCAACAGAGGGGGAGGGACACAACATCATCTATCTCCAATCTACAACATAATCCTTTCAACAGTTCCAAGAAGGCTCCATACCAGTACCACTCAGGCGATCCTGATGACACAGATAAATCTCCAGGTGACCTTAATGATCCGCTAAAAGAATGCAAACGACCATCTGTCTGCAAGGAATATAAATCCATTCTCCACCATCCAGCCAGAGCTGAAGAAGCTTCTTGGATGCGAAGTGAAACGTCTTCAAAGAAAAACCAAAAAGTCCAGTTGCCTCTTGAAAAAAAAGCATCTTTGGGACAACCATAACCTGGGAGACTGAGAATCTCCATAGACATTTTCCTTTTTTAAGGAAAAAGATGTTTGAACGACAACAAAAGAAGTCTGGAGAAAACAGATTATCTGGCCCCTTTTCAGGCAAAGTTCAGGATCAGACATGTGACAGAAACTGTAATGGTTCATCTTACTGATGACCTATGGTGGGTTGTGGATGGGGGAATGCAACCTTTTATTATTATTGTATCTTTTATTTGCAAGGGTGAAGGATCTAAGGCACTCTTTTATGGTGATTCTATTCTTTCCTGAGTTAAAACTTAGGGCACTCCAGAAAGAGAATCACAGGAATCAACCCTCTCTATTTAATTTAACTTATACATTAAGCAAGTAGAATTTAACTAGTAACCTGGCAATAGTCAGTCTACCTCTCTGCTCTAGTCCAGTGTAAAGATGTGGTGAAAATCTCGATCCAATGTCTAGAAGCTGTAGGGTCTGGATGGGATAAAGCAGATTTGAGACTCAACCCTACCGAGGTAGAATAACCTGAGTGCAGGATAATATCAAATTTAATTCTTAATGAGGTTATCCTCTTCCAGAAAGACTTGATGAAGAATTTAGGGATTCTCCTGGAATTTTCCACTCCTTCAGGAAAACAGATAGAAGCTGTGGCTGGGAGAGTTTTTGCCCAACTACAACTAGTGTCCCTAATGTGACTGTTCTTAGAAGGCACTGGCAACAATAATTAATGATTTTGTCACCTTGTGTTCAAACTGCTTTAATGTGCTTTAGATGAGACTGTGCTTTAAAATCATTCGGTTACATTAATGCAGAATGCAGCTATCCAAGTACTAATTGTGACTACATGACAGCATCATATAACAAGATCTGTTTTGGTTGCCTGTTGGTTTCTGAGTGCAGTTCAAGGTAGCGGTAATGACATATAAAGCCCCACGTGGCTTTGGGCCTAGTTATCTCCAAAACCACTTTATCTGCCCATTGAAGGAATTCCTATCGAAGATGTTTACTAAGAGTCTCCACACACCTTGAGGTGTGGCAGGAAAGGATTTAAGGTTAAGCATTTTATTCAGATGCTCCCCCTTACATTCTGTAAATAATACCTGTGTCCTCACTTTTTATTTTTAGAAACCTGCTTTTCAAAGCATCTTTAAGAGGGTGAAGTAAGATAAAGATATACCTGAAATGTATAGTTGACACACTGAATGTTGTGCACTGAATTCTGTGATAAATGGATTTATATTAATTAGAGAACTTACAAAGTATGATTTTGTTGATGTTGTCTATGTTATGATATTGTATTTATTTTATTGGAGTGTAAGCTGCTTAATGTGATCAAAATAGGTTAAAATGTTTGAAATACAAATCAAAACGAAATAGTTGTGGTTGGTCTATAATTCCCAGTATCACAGAAAGTCTTTTTCAGAGCAGGTTTTACTGCCTTCCTTTATATTAATAGCATATTCCTCTAGCAGGAGACATTGATCAATTCCCTTCGATTTAGGAGTGGGTCTTGTCATGGCCAATTGAATTCTCCCAGTTTTTTTTTAATTCTTACACAGGATAATAGGATTGTAGGGCTGCAAGGAACCTCAAGGATTTTCTAGTCCAGGGGTGTCAAACTCAAGGCCCAGGGGCAGGATCCGGCCCATGGGATGCTTAGATCTGGCCTGCGGGGTTGCTCTGCAAACAGCAAAGGACTGGCCTGTGGTGCCTCTGCCAGCAAAAATGGAGCTCGGGAGGGCCACCTGAGTTCCTTTTCCACTGGCAAAGTGCTCGGACCACCACAGGCGTTCCTACATGAATGACATTGAGCTGACCATACCCACCCTGGCCCTCTCAAATCTGATGCGTCCCTCAGTGAAATCGAGTTTGACACCCCTGTTCTAGTCCAACCCTCTGCCCAAGGCAGAATTCCTTCCTCATTCTATCCTAGACAAATGATTGTTTAATCTTTTCTTGAAAACCTTCAGCAAGGGAGCACGCACAACTCTGGGAGGTAAGCTGATCCATTAACTAATTGTTCTTATTGCCAGGACATTTCTCCTTAGTTTTAAATTGGATCACCCTCTGACGAGTTTTCATCTACTGTTGTCCTGCCTTGTGTTTTAAAGAACAAATCAATCCCCTTTTATCCATGATAGCCTTTCAAGTATTGGAAGATGGCTATTATATCACCCCTAAGCTGTTGTTTGTTAGGCTAAACATACCTAGTTCCCTTAACCATTCAACATACAGTTTAGCCTCCATATCCCTTATCATCTTTGTTGCTCTTCTCTGCACTTTTTAGGGCCTTAGCATCTTTTTTGTGTCATGGTGCCCAGAACTGAACACAGTAACCCAAGTGTGGCATTACTCGTGCAATATAAAGCAATACTATCACTTCTCATGATCTTGATGCTGTCCCCCTGCTGATACAGCCTAAGACTGCATTGGCTTTTGTGGCAGCTGCAGCACACTGCTGGCTCATACTTAAGCAGTAGTCCATTATGACACTTAGATCCCTCTTACAGGTGCTACTATTGAGTCAGGTACTACTGTACCTGTGTATTTGGTTTTTCCTGCTTAAGTACAAGACCTTACTTTTTTCACCACTGAACTACATCTTGTTGGATAGAGCCCAATGCTCAAGTCTCCTTCTGAATCTTCCAAAGTGTTAGCACTTCCCTTCAGCTTACTTTCATCTGCAAATGTGATTAGTGCCCTATCAATCCCCTTACCTGGGGTCATTTCAGAAGGTGTTGAAGAACTCTAAGGTACTCCACTGCATGCTTCCCTCCATGTAGATGTAGTTCCATTGAGGACCACATGCTGAGTTTAGTTTATCATATTATATTATTACAAATTATTATACATACATATTATATATATTATATCATAAGGACAGCAACATACTTCAATAATGATAAATATTTAAGTAATAATG